CAACGAACGGCTTGCACGCCTCAAGTCAGTAGTAGCCATTTAGCATCTTCGGCTCTCTTGGTATGCAATGTCCTTCTACTTTGACCTTAGGACTTGAATTACGAACCTGAACAGTTTTTGTCCTTGTAGGGGGCCCGACCTTACCTGTAATAGTCTCCATTGTAGTTTCTGTTTTTGGCTTAGCCAGTTACGACATATTAAGGATCCTCTACGGCAAGCCCCCAAAAAACCCTAAACCCTAAACTCAAAACGGAACTACAATGGAGACCATAAGTAAACCATGAAGCTTGAATGCGACAGGAAAAAGTCTGTGATCGCCGCCCTTGACTCGGCAGCAACAAGCTCACAACAGCTCTGCACAGCGCTGGACGAGGCCTTCCGTGCGACTCGAGCAGAAGTGTGGAAGTCTACCAGTTTAGGGCTTAGGCTTTTTGGAAGTGTGTCATCTAGTAAGGGTTGTTTGGTCCTGATACGGAGAAATTCGAAGTGTTTTTGAGACCCCGAGGCCTAGACCCAGCCTCAAACCCCACTAAGAAGGTTGGGCCAACTTGCACCGGTAGGCAGAAGAGATGATTGCAGCCGTGGAGTCGCAGTTCGAGGCGGAGATCTTGCGAAAGGTTGCCTCAGGGTTTTGGGTTTAGGGTTTAGGAATATGTGGAGTGTTAGAAAGAGCCGTAGTGACTTAATGCTTGTTGATACGGTTTTGTAAACGGTTAAGGTTTCGGGGTCTTGGGGTTTGACGAGGAACCCTCTTTTCGTTCATGACCCTCCCCAAAAACACCTGCAAATCTTTGCCAGAAGACTTAAACTAGGTTAGAATTTCAAGACCTTGGATAAAGCAGTCTAGGGTGGTCGTACATGCGACGAATTTCCGAACCTGTTCAATGGCAGATTGCAAGTTGAGACGATGCGATTGCCAATGCAATGGTTCCCCACGTCCACAAAGCACAACAAGCAATCAGTCCAAAAAGGCTTAAACAATGGAGCCATTATACATGGCGGCCGCAATACTAGTTCACAACATTATGGCCACTTTGTCATTTTTGACAAATCCATCAAAAGCCCTGGTCTACTCGGCCGCGCCTTGTTGGCTGAGTCCTTACAGCTTTGAAGTTCGGGCTTAATGGGTTTAGGGCTTCGGGGTTTAGGTTGCACGGTTGAGGGTTTAGGGGTTGTTTGGGGTTTAGGGTTTAGGGCTTCGGGGTTTAGGTTCCGGGTTTAGGGTTTAAGGGTTTGGGGTTTAGGGTTTAGGGGCTTAGGGGTCTAGGATTTACGGGTCAGGGTTTAGGGCTGCGGGGTTTAGGATCTTAACCTCCCTGGCATCAAGGAGTTCCAGCTGCGTCAGGGGTTCCAGACACCAGAGGCATGAACTTCCTGAAAGGCTTGGGTTTAGGGTTAAGGCCCAAAGTCATAAACCCCTCGACCCAAAATCCCATACAAACCTGCAGCCCCAGGCCCTAAACTTTCAACCCATAGCGACAAACCCCAGAGCCCTTAACCATAATCCTTTCATTCCAAATCCATAAACCAAAAACTGCAAGACCGTAAGCCCAACACCGAATACCTAACACCACACACCTCAAACCGCGAATCCACAATCCCTTCTAGCCCCACAAAGAATCGTTCTACTACCCGTAAAGGTACCCATCATCAAGGAAACTCGGAGCCCTAAACCCTGAACCCTGACACCTAAGGCCTAACCCTAAACTTTCAAGGCTAACCCTATACCCTAAACGCCCAAAGCCTAACCCTAAACACCTAAAGCCTCACCCTAAACCCTAAACGCTATTCCTAAACCCTAAACGCTACCCCTCAGCCCTAAAGGCTAACCCTAAACCCTAAACATCCAAAGCTTAACCCTAAACCCTGAACACTTAAAGCCTAACCCTAAGCCCTAAACGCTATTCCTAAACCCTATAAACGCTACCCCTAAACCCTGAACGCTAACCCTAAATGCTAACCCTAAACCCAAAACACCCAAAGCCTAACCCTAAACACCCGAAGCCTAACCCCAAACCATCAAAGCCTAACCGTAAACCCTGCCTATAGTCTCCATTGTAGTTCCCTTTTTGGGTTTAACCAGTCTGGCATTACGGATCCTAAAAGGTAACCCCCAAAAGGAACTACAATGGAGACTATACCCTAAGGGTCCATGTACCCAAATAGTATATACTTTGGCCTTCATGTAGTCCCTATATGGGTACTTTAGGGCCAATGTTCTATTATTTAGGCACATGGACCCTTAGGGATAGGTAAACTCCAGCCCTCGAACCCTAAACCCTAAACCCCCTAAGCCCTAAACCCTAAACCCTAAACCCTAAACCCTAAACCCTAAACCCTAAACCCTAAACCCTACTCGAGGAAGCTTCGAGCCCCCAGGCCCGACGTAGGAAGTTTCTGAGAGAGGCCGGGCGGGCCATCTCTGGAGACGCAGCTCACGGCACGAAATGCTCCCTGTGACGGAAGGCCAGGGATTTGAGGGTCAGTTATGATAGGGTTTCAGGGTTTAGGGTTTAGGGGTCAGCTATTATAGGGATGTAGGGTTTATAGTAGGTTTGGGGGTCCATTGAAGGGTTCCTCTAAGGCTTCAGGGTATTTGGGAGGGATCTTTAAAAATAGAAAGCCTGTCTAGATCGTTTAATTAAGGGGTCATAGCCCACTCTTTAGGGTGTAGGGTCGGGGTTGCGGTGTTTTATGATAACCCTAAACCCTAAAATGCAGGAAATCCTAGATTATATACCCCCCGTTCCAAAAACATAAGCTACTACAGAAACCTGAATACTCAAAACAAGGTTCCTCAGGGCTCTTGAAATCAGGCTATACCCCCCAAACCCTAAATCCTAAACCCAAGACCTTATTCTAATGATTCAGGCCCAAGCATTACCAGCAATCCTTCCAAAGCTTCAGGTTTCAAGCACAGCAAAGCACGGTTTAGGGTTTAGGGTTTAGGTCTGGACATGTATTCGAAAAACCCTTTGAGGGTTCAGGTGTCTTAGGGGTTTTAGGATGCAGGGCTCGGGTTTGGGCTTTTAGGGTTTCAGGGTTCAGGGTTCGGGTGTTGAAATCTCATGTACGCTTTGCCTTTACTTAAGGATCATGGAACATAGCAGCTAGGATTGTATGTGAGGACACCACACTTAAGATTACTTCTAAACCCCAAAGTCAGGCAGTTATGGCTTCTAACCGTACTTGCCCAGAGACTCCAATACCCCTTAATTAAGGAATATACCTTAAATCATATTAGGGATCCTAGTATAATTTAAGGTATATTCCTTAATTAAGGGGTATTGGAGTCTCTGGGTGCTAAGTCTCATGAACCTCTAAGCAGGGTTTCAGGTCCAAAGGTTTCGACTTACCCACTGCGCCGCGCAGGCAGGGATTCAGGACGAGTGGTCCATTGAAGGGCTTAGGTCCTAGGGCTTAGGGTTTAGGGTTTAGGTCCTAGGGCTTAGGGTTGAGGGTTTAGGGTTTAGGGTTTAGGTCCTAGGGCTTAGGCTTTAGGGTTGAGGGTTTAGGTCCTAGGGCTGAGGGTCCGGCGCTTAGATATGGAATGTACCTGACAATGTATTCAAGATCTCGCTGTAATGTAAGGTATATTGCCTGATTGAAGGGTTTGTTGAGGTTTTGGGCGCACAATGTATGCAGCCTCCCTTACAACATCAGTTGCCACAAGGGGCGAGTGCACGATATGTGGGAGCCTTAATAATATGAACAGGGTTCCTTGGGGCTCCGTAGTATAAGCAGTACATAAGGTGCCACAAGACCCTGTCCTAAATTATCACAACGACAATGATAACAAGAAGAATGGCAATAGTAGTAACAAAAATAAAAACACACATAATAATCATAAAAATAATGATAATTGTTATGGTTATTCTTCTTACTATTGATATAATAATAGTAATTATTATTAATATAATAATAAAGGCCGTCGTGATATGGGTTTATAATGGTGTCAGGGTGGATCATGGCAGCTGGCCTTGGCGTTGCGTACGGTTTTGGCATTGCAGCCTCGAGGGCTGCGAGTCTACCCCTGAGGGTCGGTTTAGGGTTTAGGGTCTAGGGTTTAGGCTTAGGGTTTAGGGTTTAGGGTTTAGGGTTAGGGTTTAGGGTTTAGGGTTTAGGGTTAGGGTTTAGGGTTTAGGGAGATATACTACCAATATCGAATTTGGCCCTAAACGACTGGCTGATCACGGCTCCGGGGATCTAGTTCCGCACTAGTCTACATGGACCGTTTGAGGAACAGAGGCCCCCAAGTGGAAACAAATTCTTTCCACTGCACACCTGCACCTCAAAGCCTGAATCCTGTTCCTCAACACTCTAGCCCCTAAGCTCTACTTTCAACCCTAAGATATTATGCATCCCCAAAACCCTAACCTCTGCAATCCTCAACACCAATGCTCCTCGAGGTCTTCGTGTAAAACCGTTGTGAATCCGCGCTGAGCTTGCTTTCAGACCGAGGGTCTGCAAACCAAATGGTTCGGGGGCTTTCGGGCATGATCGATTGGGTTTACACATGCACTACTCCTATTGAGGTCAGCTATTTTCTGACACTCCCATCTTGGTTTCCAAAAACCAGCAGCCGTGAAACGTTACAGCACTGATGCCGACTAGCACAAGGACTTGTGGGAAGTGCAAAGACACTGTCATTTGCAAGAACAGTGGCAGTAGCAGCCGTGATTAGTAGTAGTCAGTAGTAGTAGTAGTAGTAGTAGTAGTAGTAGTAGTAGCAGTAGTAGTAGTAGTAGTAGTAGTAGTAGTAACCTAGTGGTAATAACAGCAGAAGTACCAATCTTGCGGCTCCACACATCCCAACCCACAAGGCTCGAAATTACAAAACCCGCTAAACCGGAAAAACCTACATCATGAGCTTCGAGAATCTAGGGTCTCGGAACTCCCAAGCGCCGAAGTCCTTGAACCGCCCAAACCTCAGCCCTTTAAGCCGAGTTTCAAAGTCGAACACCGCAAGGCCTCCGCTAAACTCTAAACCGTAAACCAGCCTTGCCAAGGACGCCGACTGTCGCTGGGAATCCTGGAAAGCCTCGGGGGTGGTTGCTTGTGGAGGCGCTCTGGGGCTTACTGCAATCTTTTCACTGCTGTTACTACCCTTCCCCCTCTTTGTCTTGTTCTTCCGGTTCTGCTTTGCTGACCGGGGCTATTCATTCCGGTTTCTTGGAACTGCGGGGAAGGTAATACAGGCGCCTGAGCAAGTGGAATGAGGGTTTTGGGCTAAAGTGTACTATAAACATATACGGACCATAATGCAATCTAGGGTTTCGTGGTATACTATTCCATACTTTAAATAGGCACCAGGACTATACTGGGATACTGTTATTGACTATTCAGACCCCTATCAAAACCCTAAACCCTAATCCTAAACCCTGAACCCCAAACCTCTAAACCCCCAACACCCCAAACCTAAACTCTAAGTAAACCCTAATCCCCAAATTCAAAACCAAAACCTGATCCTAATCCCCATTAAGGCCCCCCGACGCTTCTTCAGGATCTTCACCAGCTCTGGGGGGCAGCGGGGAACGACGAGGGTCACCTGAGCTTGAACCGTCGGACCCCATGAGGGTTTAGGAGTTTCGGGTTTAGGGTCCATAGGGTTGGGTGTCTGGGGGTTTAGGGTTTAGGGGTTTAGGGTTTCGGGTTTAAGGCGGAGAATTTGGGTAGTTCTCTAAATTAGGGTCCCTTTTTAGGGTCCTTCTTGTCGGACTCTACTTTAGAAAACTACCCAGAAGGGAGCCTGCATACGCAGAACAGGTTTGGCCGGTTTGGGTGTATAGTATGGCACCAAGATATTTTATGGCTTTAGGGACTATACTCGGCACTCTGAGGCATTAGAATCACGCGCTACCAATCGTTCAGACGCCTAGACTAACTAGGGGTTTTGGTTTGAGGCTTTGCTTTTCTGAGGAGTGGGGGGGGGGGGTGGACAACTTTGACGGACTCCGGCGGCTTGGGAAAAAAGCAGAACCGTGGACTCGTGTAAGAATCTTCCGAAGTCTAGATCCGAGCAAAATCGAAATCCTACTCGAAGCTTGCCCTCGTATAATCAACCCTGGAAAAGCTTTGGGACGCCGAGTCTCTCGAGCTCAAGATTTGCACTTCTGGGACTTGCTCCTGGTTCCCTCAATTTGATCAATGCCCTTGAGTCGCGTGGGTCCCCGATTAAGCTAAACTTTAAACTCCTGCTGGTGATATGCCAGAACCAACTTTTTGTACGGCCGGCCTGACACCACCTTCCAAACCCTAGTGACCTAAGTGCCTACCCCAAGCATTAGGAGCGAAGGGTTGGGGGTGTGCAAAAACGAAGGCACTTGAAAAAAGGTGCCGTAACAATTAGAATAGGGTTTTGTGGCATATGTACTGATATGAATAACATACACATAATAATAGTGATAATAATCATGGTAGTAGTGATAAAAATAGCAAGTTTTGTAATAATACGAACATTAATAATACTAATAATAGTAATCATAATACGGAGCCCCAAAGTAGTATTATGTACTTATTTAGGCCCCTATATTAGCTCCAAATCCGAAACCCAAGCCGACTTTCCTCCCACGAGTCTGGGCGCTCCCACCGCCTCCTCAAGCGGTGCATCGGCTTGGCCTCACGGGCGAGGCTTGTCTGGTCTTTAGGGGGTATGGCCGAGTAGGGGTGCAGGGCTTCAAGTGTTCAGGTTTAATTTAAGTTACCATAACAATGAAACCATATTATTTACTATAGATCCCTATTCGGTAACTTAAATTTGACGGGTGTTTCGGCGTTCAGGGTGATGGGCGTTTCTTCGGATTTAGGATCTCCATGGTTCAGGGAGGAATTTCGATGCTGGTTTGCTGTCGCTGTCCCGAATTTCGGAGAGTTTGAGGATGCTGCCATGATGATTTGCATCTGACGGCCGCTTGACGTAAAGAACGGATATTACTGTATGATATTACTGCTACAGCTAAGACAAATCTCAGCCACCCGTAGTGGCAAGAACTCGATGCAATGTCCGGGCCTCAAGCCTCAGAATGTGGTTTCAGGGGACGTAGGTCATAGAGAAGATGGTATCACAAGGCTCTAGTAGCATTGGTAACTTCTGGGTGCTTATCCTTCACTTCACCCGCAACCTGGTTTTACTCAGCAGTACAGGATGTGGCATCAGAGTGCTTGAGGCTTTGGGTTCCGGTCTTTCGGGTGCAAGGCCTTGCAAACATGACGCATTTGGGATTTCGGCTTGCTCCCTTTGGGACTCCAACCCGACAGCCGCAGCGGCGGGGGCATCTGGTCGAACATGTACAGCACCTGGGGCTTTCGGGTCCACTGCGGACTTTACCGGGGCCTGGAGTTGTAGGTGTGACAAGGCTTTTATGGTTGGTTGGCTTCTTCGCTGAGGAGCTGCGCATCGGCTGCGACTATAGAACCACAGCTGAAGAAGTCGGACCAGGATCAATTCACCCAACGAGCTGACCGTGACGATCGGTGCTCTGTCAAAGGCACGTCGTGGGTCTTGACCGGCCACACCTGTCATCTGCTCACATGGCAAGGAAAGCAAGCTCTGCATGACAACGGAACAGGAAAATCGCGTGACTGGCGCACGCTCGCATCCAGCATGAAGTTGGTCTGCAAGGCGTTCCAGAGCAGGACCTGGCAGCCGGGTTACGTAAAAGGCAGGGAAGTTCAACCTAGCTTATGGCGGGGCATCCTGCGTCACTCCTCAACCACGTGAACCTACTACGTTGACGAGATCATCCGAGGCCAGGCCCTAAACCCTAAACCCTAACACGAATCACGACCACACCCAGAATGCCACAAGCCTCCCTCGCTTGAAAGAGTTCCCCCCCCCCCCCACGGACCCGGTTAGTTTAGGGTTTAGGGTTAGATGATCTACCGGACTCTACGTTAAATGTCGCGATACGTTTTTTGTATAATATAGGGGCCTGAATAATTAGAATATGGTTTTGGGTCCCATCATGCTGGAGTTATAATAAGGAGCCCCCAAAATAGTATAGGTAACTATTTCAAGCTAGTATATTAGCGTACCTGTTTTATAGGCATTCGGAGCTCTTCGACGCCTGCGCTCTCGCAACTTCGGTCGGCGTCAGCTGCTCCCGGGCGTAGGCTAAGGAAACCTGAGAGCACAGTAGACAGTAGTACACTATAGTATACTATAGTATAGTATTTGATCGTATACTCTAGTATACTATAGTGTATTATAGACTGGTGTGGGGAAGAAGGCCAGGCGCCCCTCCTTGTGGCATCAGGGAGAAGGGCTTTTGGGGGTGTCTTCTCTTTAGTCCCGAAAGCTGGCACAACACTTCTTGTGCGATGGAGCAACTCCGATTAGGAACTGCAGAAACGGATTGCACCTGGACAGTGTCATGCATGAGTTTTACGATCAAGACACGGTGGACTGCTAGAAAACCCGGCGGTCGCGAAGAAATTCTGGCTCCATGCCGTGCACTCCCACGGTTCCTATCACGAGTGCGCAGCGACGGCGTCGCCGAATGCAGCTTTGGCCTTCAAGCTGCGCATGTTCTGAGGCTGCCACCGCGAGAAGAAATACCTGGCCGTTCGGACAGACCTCGCGCGAATCCAGATTTTAAGGGGCCTTGTCTCTGAGAAGTAACTCATTGCTATCTGTTCTAGACGGCAGCACAAGGAGTGCTTCAGTTTTGCAACTTGCTTCGGGACCCTGTCATGGAGCTGCATGGTCTGTAGCCCAACATATCCGGTGCATTACCATCATTCTTCCTTAGGGTTCCTTTTTTAGGTATACTGTAAGAACCCCAGAAACCTATGCCGATTCTCGGGGCTTCGAAAATACCTTCATGATGCCTCGATCCTTCGATGTTGCTCTAAACGTGGTGGTTGTTACCATCGTCGTTTCATAAGGAGTTACCAGTTGCACTACACCCACAATCTCGCTTTCATAACTTTCGTAGACAGTGAAGCCCAGAAGGTGCCGGCTGTAGGAAGAATTTCTCCGATGAAACACTGGGGTGAGGGCTGGCTAAACCAAGGCACCAAAACTAAACCCTGATTTCGCATGTCCGAAATGTCAGCCCACTGGCGCAGACACCAATGCGGATCTGCGATGCTTCTGCATTCTGCAGCTGTTGAAGCCAGCCAAACTCAACTCAACGTTAGGACGAATCCCGTGCGGCAGAAGCCCTGTCAGTAGCTACAGCCGTGCCCTAGGGCGTAAGCACTTCCGGATAAGCGTGAACCCGGAAAGCCGAAACCTCAGGCCCGCGCCAACTTCTGCAGCTGGGAGATCTCGAGTACTGCCCGGAGACCATCGACTGCGGATATGAGACCCATATCGGTGCAGCCTCAGCTGCGATCAAGTTCGGCCCTCATCATCTTTACCTTCGGCTGCAAGTCAGGTTTACCGATTTAGGGCTTCTGAGGGGTATAATACACAACAATGTACCAGCACATTCATTAATTCACTATATTGTACTAGAGTGTACCATAATATACTATACTCTAGTATAGTATATTATAAGCATAGCACAGTATACGATAATGTACCAAAATAAATCTTAGGGCCCCAGAAACCCCCGAAATCCAGCTTGGTCGGGCACCGATGCGAAGCAGGTCGTCATCTCCGGCCTTGCGAGAGGAACTGTGCGCGTTCTACCCCACGTTTCAGGTTTAGGGTTTAGGCTTTAGGGTTTAGGGTGGTTCATGGGGCTTTGTAACTTACAGGGATCCTTCAAGGGATCGATGAGGGTTTCTTCAGGGTGACTACAAGGGTTCCATAGGGTTTCGGGGTTTAGGGGATAGCTGGGATTATAAGTGAGCATAAGTATAGTTACGTTAAAAGAAACCCTAGTCTAAAGTCAATCAACCTCTAAGTAGGGAAATGTTCTGTCGAGTGAGACCCAGAGAACATCGCTTTCTACCGAGCACTTCTCTGGAGTCTTAGAGGTTCGAGGCGGCGGTTCCGGAGGATTCCAGGATGCAACGAGTTCGACACATAAGGGCCCGGTAACACGCACTGCTACGGCTCCAAAGGCATGCGCCCAGTCAACGGACCCCCCAAACCCCCCTCCCTCCACCCCCACGCCAGCAATCAGAACCATCCGGATCCGAGTGTCGCACGTCTAAGTTGCACTCCGTCTTGGCCAGGCGGAGAACCTCAAGCCACGGCTCCGAAGGCGAGGGGTCCGACCCTGAGACCTGAATCTCAAAAACCAATACCAATGTGGAGTTCTTTGTTATATATATATATATATATATATATGTATGTATGTATGTATGTATGTATATATATATATATATATACGCTTTTAGATATAAAGTATAATGTACACCAAAACCCTGTTCTAACTATTAAGGCCTCTATATTCACTGCAACATCCCGAAGTCCCAGGCGGTTCAGGCCTTGCAGCACTTCGAGCACAGACTTTGGGTTTGAGTTGATGGATATTTGGTCTCGGACTGTCGACTTTGCGGGGTAGCAGTTTAGAGTTCGGGGTTTTGGGTTTAGGCTTCAGGTTTTAGGTTCTAGTTTGAGGTTTAGTCTAGGGTTTGGGGTTTAGGTTTTAGGGGCTTGGGGTTTCTATTATTGGTTCTGTGTTCGTGGGTTTTGCTTGCCACAACGACTCAAGAACGAAACTCGAACACCCCCAGTAAAAGCCCCGTATAACACCGCCCCACAACACCTTGCACAACTCGAGTAAAACCCTGATGAAAACCTCATCTTAGATAAGATTAGATGAGACGACACGAGATGGCACTAGAGTTGGTAAGCTTAAGCCCATTTTGGTTGTTTTAGATTACAAAATGTTCTGTTCTGCTATCTTGTATTCGATTCTATTCCATTATCCATAAAAATTGCTAGTATGTGTAGACAACTGTATACATACATATGCAAAAATAAAGATACATAGATCATATAGTTACCCATATAAGGATATATGCTTCTAAACGATCTGAGGATTCGCACCGCTGGCCAGTCCAGGCCTTGCAAAACACCTTTGCACCAGGCCTCGGGGCTTCCAAGGGCTCCAGGGCCTGGTTTGATTTTACGAGGTTCTTCGGGGCCGTGACCCTAAACCCTAAAAAACCCTCAAAACCTAAACCCTAAACCCTAAACCCTGAAAACCCAAACCCTAAATCCTGAAAGCCCTAAACCCTAAACCCTGACCCCAAACTTTAGCATTTTCGGCCGAAGGGGAGGAGGGCTTTGGAGCGGCCTTGAAGTCGCCGTCACAGGCGCAAGAAGCTACCCTCTTGCGAGGAGCATGATGGACGGTTTGGGGTTTAGGGTGTAAAGTTTAGGGTGTAGGGATGAGGATGACGATGACGATGATGATGATGATGATGATGATCGTCAACAACGTCGTCATTGTCGCCATCATCATCAGCAACATCAATATCAAAGTCCTCATCGTAATGCCAAAGATCCCACCTCAGACACGAGAAGACAAGGGCCCAGCCATGACTTCCATAACGTCTGAGGAGGTGTCCTTCTCTTCCTGTGTCGAAGAAATGAACCAGAACTTTGGTAGCTGAAGGAGGTTAAGCTTAAGGCATCGAGGGTTTGATTGTTCCTGGAAGCCCGTCCTACCGTTATGTTGACAGCTTTCCTCTGCGACATCGGAATCACAGTGCCTCCAGCTCAATAGATACTACAATAACCAGGTTTTTGTTAAGGAGTTTGCTTTAAGCTGCCATACTACGGAAACCATACTATTTACCATATATCCCTGTACAATTTACCATAGATCCCTGTACTATGGTAACTTAAGCTTAAACTCCCTAACCAGAGCCCAGACAAGCGATAGAAGAAACGGCCTCGCCATCTGCCTTGGAGACATCGCCCAAGAGGATATGCGCCACCAGCAGGGCGCGCAACAACCTCCTAAACTCTCATCTGGCTGCAGTTTGGTTCCGATGATCGGTGGGTTTATTTTAGGGTTTGGGGTTTAGGGTTCAGGGTTTAGGGGGGTGCCTTACAACCTCACAAGCTCGCAACTCGGTTGGACAAGCCCTGATAGCCCACACTTGCAGCACTGTTTAGCTCTGCCCCCACCTCATTGCTCATCGCGCCACAAGACCAGACAGCTCGTAAGGTGCAAAGCTGATTTGTCCGCACTAGGGTACTCGTGACGGGTCTGACGACTGCAGTTTCGCCAAACGGTCGAAAATGTTGAAGTCTTGTTGCGTGAGAGTGTCAGAGGTCGTGCTGAATCTTTTCGAGACTTTGTGGAACTAGACTTGCGCAGAAATAGCTCCACTTCCTATTTGTAAGCGGCTAAAGGCTGTCACAGGCGTCATTGCATCATTACCATATGTGGTGGTCTGTTGCATGTCGCTGCTGAGCCAGGAGCATGCCAGCAATTTCAACAGAAAAGCCGCTCAAGCACTCAACAACCAGCCATGCCCAACTGGACCATGCAGGCAATCGTCCCCACCTTCAACTGCGCAGGTCCAAGCAGAAGCTTGCAAAGACGAGCCTCGCAAATCTGTCCGGCACGCAACACCTCTCATCGAGCACAGGATATCGAAGCAGTGTTTATTCAGCCTCTCCATGACCTGTACAACAAAGAAATGTATGCCATGTGCTTTCTTGAACAACTGACGCAGGCCTTCTCCGAAGAAGTCACGGTCGGGGCATTTAGGACCTCAAGTCGTATGGCACTTGGTCAAAGCTTTAGTATACATGTGCACCTCAAACTGTTTCTGCTGCTGAACCATGTAGCTGCTTACGCACTTGCTTGTAGATTGGCACAACAAACGAAGGTGTGTTTACACCTGTGTATGTATGCCATAGCGACTGCACAACAACCATCACCCTTTATACTCTCATGACCGTCAATTAGAATAGGGTCCGGGGTATATTATACCATAACTATAATAAGGAACCCCCCAAAATAGTATAGGTAATTATTAAGCCCCTATACTACACCCTCAACGCACAAAATGTCGCTGCAGAGAACCGGCTCTCAGTCCCATTTCCCGAGATCCTCCGTACTGGATAGACGGCGTAGAGCTTGCTGTTTCGCTGTCTCGGATCTCCAAGGTCCAGAGACTGTTCTGAATTCTTGTCTAGTGCTTCCAGCTCGCAAGAAAGGGTCTCCAGCCAACACACAGCCACAAGGCTGTGCTCCTCAGACAACGACAAGCTGAGAAGTGAACCCGGCCGCCCATGGCCAGGCGATCTGCACGCGCATCGAGGTCCTGAGCTTCGGAGGCAAGAGTATGGTGGACGGATCTTCGAAGGCCTCCGGATGCCTGTGGTGCTGCATCTGATCTTACAGTATGCTGTTTATACTTTAGTATAGTATGTAATTCATACGCACTATCTCATATTGTAGTGTATTGAAGTAAGTTCAACACTTCGAACCTGAAACCCAAACCCTTTCATTGTAGCCAAAGCCAAAGCGCAAACTTCCGGGAAGGCCCGGCTTCCCTTTCTGACTATGTGTTCCTTTACTTCAAAGTCAGAGTCCGCGGCTTTAGGCCTATGAGGGGGTTATAGGGTTTTTTTGGGTTTATAGGGGTTTAGGGTTTAGGGATTTTGGGGTTTAGGGGTGTACCCCGAAAGTAGAGAACCCTTTGGACCGAGGCATCCTACTTGCAAACAACTTACTAACTGCCCCGACTCCTTTTGGACCAGCAATAAGAACCTGTGAAAGATGCTTAAAAGACAAAACTGGAACCTGACCCAGCTCGGCCAGGCGAGTCGGAAAAGTAGGCCAGGGGCGGGATCAGCGCTGGCATACTCCTGGACCCGAATGAGCAAGGGAGACAAAAGCAGAAAAATCGATGCATCTACTGTCACTACTGTTACTGAATGAAGTCTGAGACAACTCCTGATAATAGAGGCATCTGTTATCCTGCCAACTGAGATGTCCGTGCGGGTCATCCACACGGTTGCCCTAAACCCCTGCCTAAGGTGTTACGCGAGGGTGTGCGGCCAAGGCTCTCGGAATCTGTTGAGGGCTTTACGAATCACACTGGCAGAAAGGTGAAGCGAAAGCTGGCAAGGATGTGAAGGGGAAGCTCTTGGCATTGCCAATGCTCTGAATATACTGGGATCTGTGCACACGAGGAGAGATCCTGACCCCAAAGTCTTGCGTGGCCGTGCCTTCTGCCATACTGCGAAAGTCACTGCCACTCGATCAACCACCTTGCCCGAAGAAGGTTTTGGGCTTGCAACGAGCAGCTGGGAGAGCTGGGCACAGCAATGACTGACAGCGAATTTCTCGGGTGAATGAGAGGGCAAGCGCCAGTGCATGATGATTAAAGTGTTCAAATCAAGCCCGTGTTTCCAGGTTCTTCAGATCTTGAAATCTGGGAGTTGCTGAAAAGCTTTATGCAAGGAAGCTGTCCTCATAAGTTGACGTCGGAACCCTAGTGTCGTCTGAAGTATGGTACCACAACTTGGCTCTTGGGGTTGCTTGGGATGCTTCCGGCCGCCTTAGTAGTTAAACCATAAGACCAAAACATCTCTTCAAACCTTCATGTAGAGCCCCCGAAGGGTTACTAATCGTACTCCGCGGGGCCGTAGGGCTCCTTGTTGTAATTATGGTAGCATCTCTCCCCGTAGGGATCCGTAGTATACTTACAGCGTACAGTCGTATAGTAGATCCCCTAAACCGTGTTCCAATGCTCAGGATCCTGCGAATAATTAGTGTATAGTTTTTATCACAAAGACCCTATTCTAATCACTCAGGCCCCTTATCTCGCAAGAACCCTAAACCCTAAAAGGTTGGAGAGCAAAGGTCCGAAGAACCAGTGCCTTGAGCATGACACCGTCGGGGTACTCCTCTTTCAGCTCGTATGGGAAGTAGCCTCTGCTAAGGACAGCGTAGGTCGTCAGGCTATGCTGTTTCACGTGTATTCAGACGGGACATTCCGTCCAGTATTTTAGATTGTTCTCCAAACAGACGAGTAGAACTCTGCATCGGGATTTTAACATGTTGAGAGTAAGCCCGCTCTCGGGCCTTGCGGCTCGCACGGCGGTGCACACTGCTCAATGCAAAGCTTCCCTGCAATACCACACAGCTTTTAAACCAAAGCGGCATATTTTTGTGCAGCGTTTTGTGGAGACCGGCACTTTTGCAGTTTTCTAGACGCCCTTTCCATCGACATGGTACGTTCCGGCCGGTGGCTTGGCTTCAGAATAATTCTGGGAGGGACACGAGAGGCCGTACATGTCACAATCTGAATGCCTAACAAACTAATATAGGGGCCTAAATAATTACCAATACTATTTTGGAGGTTCCTTATAATATTGTGTCATATACCCCAAGACCCTATTCTAAGTATTAAGGCCCCTATATTGGTGCAAGCTTGCAGGCCCTCAGCTTCCGGCCATCCAAGATGTCCTGACATCACGGGGCTGTGGGTCTAGTCCAGCAGTCGCACGTGCCACAATGTAAAAAGCAAGGACTATGGCCAAAGGCAGTCCTGTTTCAAGTTCGTTCATGTGCTCTCCGTCCGGACACAGATGCTGTGAGCTTATCTGAGGCTCGTTTCTGAAGGCATTCCTCAATCCGAAGAAGCCCTAGGTGCCAAATCCAACTGATGCCCAAACCCGATGTACACTACAACCTACTACGTAATTACTAGCATCTGAATCCTTCTTCATCTCCGACAAGCTGCAAGACCTGAACCACGGTCATGGTTTATTGACTAGTTACTCAGCCCCAAGTGCAGGAAACAATAGTCAAACGCAAAACATCTCTCTACGTTGCCCTTTCGCAGAAAAGGGCGTGGCCTGAAGCAGTTGCTGGGCAGCACGGCTGCCGAAGGGTTGGAAGTTGCAGCGTCCGAGCTTAACGCCGTCCTGATGCAGCAGTGAACGTTGAGCCGTGAAGTCCATCAACAAGAGCTCGGCAAAAGACTATACACCACTACTGTTGATGATATGAATCCTGCATTACCCTAGGCTATGGGCATTACGGTATGGGTAATGCACGATTTGTATCATCCACCGTAGTTCTCAATCAACTCTGCAATTCCCGGCAGAGATGGATTCGAGGGATTGGCACCCGGAAAGGCGGTTGCTTCATCGATGTTTCAGGTGATACTGCTGATGGACAAAATTCTGCATGACCCAAAGTATAGTGTAGTACCATAAATCCCATAGTTTAGGTATATAGGGTCATGCAGGATTTTGTCCATGACCGTATGTAGTAGTAGTCGTCATATATAGTAGTGTATACAAGTATATAATAGTATAAGCCTACAGGGCCCTAAACCCTAAACCCTGAACCCTAAACCCTAAGGGGTCGGGCTTAAGGTTTGGGTTTTGGGTTCTGGCTTAATAACTCAGCTCTTCTAACAGATCTCCAGGCTCGACAGTTGCACATGTCAAGGACCTTCAAAGGAACCTCGGATTGCTAGGTGGGGGTTTCCGAAGATAGGGGACCCTAAACCCTAAACCCTAAACCCTAAACCCCGAATATAGTACCCTAAATAATGGGATCCTTATTATAAGGACCCCCAAAATAAGGTACCCCTTATATTCGGAAACTCCCAGGTGTAATCTAGAAGCGTGGATAGCTGGCAATACCAGTCCTTCGTGTTCCGAGCCATTGTGGAGTTTCGGTGAATTGTTCATAGAGTTCGGAGTTTAGGGTAGAGTTTCGGGGTTCAGGGTAGAGTTTCAGGGTTTGGCTTGTTGATAACTTCAGGTTTAGGGCTTAGGGTTGTTGATAGAGTTTCAGGGCTTACCCTAAACCCTAAACCCTAAACCCTATAGGATGCAGACGGAGAGACAAGGAAAGAACCAGAGTAAGAAAGAGAGAGCGAGAGATAATTAAGAGCCATCAGGGGCACCTTTCGAGGCGATTTGGGGTTTAGGGGGTTTCGGGGATTTGTTGTTTAGCGCTTCAGGCTTTCAGAACTTCTGAAAAGCTTCTGAAGCTTTTCTATATTTTTTGCAGATTCTGCACAGGGAAGAGAGAGAGAGAGGGCGAGAGGGAACGTGCGTATGTACATGTAGACAAGAGCAAGACCGAGAGCACTAGAAAACACATTATTAGTTTCATTATACCTGCATACTGGGCTAGATCATCCATGTAAAA